ACAGCTCTAAGCTCTTTTGATTTTATGAAAAGCTTTATGATTTGGAGTCTGAGAAAGCATTAAGTCATGGATCTTAAGTGAGTAGGAGGATGAAGTTGCTCAGCTTGAAATGACCCTACTTAATTTCCTGACCACCTACTGTCCAGAGGTGAAAAGAGACAAATAATCAACAAAGCAATATCAGCTGCATTCCAGTACTTGAAGAATTTCAGCTTTCTCTTCCTTTATACTGACGTGTGTCTTGGACACCACACTCTTCTGCCTTCTCCTTTCCTCTTTCTGACTATGTCCTATGTTCTTGACTACATTTTTTGCATAATATTGTGACTTCATCTCAGATTAATATCTGCAGTTTACTTATTTTTGGTAATTAAAATAGTCTCTGATCATTTTGTCTTTGTGATGGTTTAAGCCTGAATATATCACTGTGAAACTTGGCTGTTTCCTTACCAATTTGACTATATCAACCAAGAAACTTTTCCTACATTCTGTCTCACTACTTCTTTCATTTTTGGAAGAATATCTATTATAAATGATTCCATGACACTTTACATCACTTTTAAACATTAATTCAATGCCATACTTTAGAGATTATGCCTGTATCAAGTGCAGTCTTTTCTAAAATGGTAGGATTTGTTCACTCTGAAAATTTCACTGGACTACTTCATAAATAAAATTACACTAAATTCTGATTACCAGGTGCATATATTGCTAAGTAGTGTAATGTGGTTATCACATTAATTGTAATTTAGTGTTTTCTTTTGTTTGTTGGATATGTGGTATTGATTCCATGAAGAAGGACAATCTTAGCACAGAGGCTTAAGGCAAAAAGTAACAGCATTTTTCCCACCTGTTGCACTGAAAAAGATTTATTAGGGGAGTTTGATTATTTTTTCTTAAGTCTTTCTTATTTCCCATAGCAGATAATGACCATACTTTTTGAGTGCTTGTATGCACATCTGCATTTAAACATACAAACATGTTCTTAGACATCATTGAAGTCAGGTGTACTATACACTTTGGTCACCATATGGTTACTGTTCTGTATGTATTTTTAATATGATCGCAAATTAATGTTTCAAAGTTAGAGTCAATGTTGAAATAACCTCATTATTTTATTCTTAAACATCAAAGCTTTGGGATGTATTATTGTGATTGAGTTTTTATTTTGCTCTCTTAAAATAGCAAAACTTTAATTGAGAAAGCAAATTGCTTCTTGAGAACTAGAGTACCAAGAAATAAAATGAGAAAAATTTCATTAGCAAGTACATGTAAAAATCTTGGAAGGATGATTCCATTTGTCTAGCACTTAGTAGGAAATTATAGCCCTCAGATCATATCAAAATTAACTTAAATATCACCCTCATCCCCAAAAGATGGGAACAGTCCTAAAAATTCTCTTGTTTAGTAAATATATATATGGGCCATTTGTTGTTACTGATCTCATGAAAGGGTAGCTTTAACAGAGCCAAATAGTTGATTTGGTTTTGGTCTTAGAGGAAAAAATCTTATTTTGTATGTGGTTTCACAGTGTCAGAAGTGTGTAATTGCCTTTATTAGGACATTACGCTTTATTTCTATTACTGTTGGAAACATCTGAGATATAGGCTAATTTATAGCATCTTCAACTCTTGTCAGCTGTATAAAATACTGTTGTTTCATTTTCCAGATGATTTTTCCTTGTGAAACTTTCCTTCCTTTGTCTCCTAATAAATATGCCCTTTCTAAATCCTTTCTCTTTTGAAATGAAAAGACTAAAAGGACTACTTTTGTAATTAAAAGTCATTTTGAAATAACCTCAGAAAATTGTTTCTAGATATCAAAACATCTTTATGGTCCCATTTCTATGGCAAGAAAGACAAGCGACTGGGATCCTGCACATTTTACTGTAGTCTACATTAATTACCTTCTATTAAAAAATGACAAAGACCTTTTTGAAAGAGAATCTGGCACTCTTTCCACAGAAAGGATGGCAGACACCCTACTTTGCTGATTTCTTGACACTTCTAATTACCTGTATTCATTTGAAATCGTTTCCTTTGTAGAGAGTTATTGGCATGATTTTCTGAGAACAAGAGGAAAATGGAAAACATTTTAGCAAGTTAAGGGAAAAAAAATCAACAGTATCATTGTTTGCCGCTTTTGTTGAAACTACCTACACAAGTCATTTGAGGGACATGAAGGTAAATGAAAGGTTATACTTTGCCCTGCACGTTGTTGCTGGTATTTGTAATGTCAATAACTGTAGAAGGTTGTCAGGAAACTGGAGAGATAAAGGTCAATCGCAATGACAAATATATCATTGTATGTGTTTGAATATGCAATATCGGCCTAATCTGCCAGGGGAGGCTTTCACACCCTGGAAGTAGCAATCAGGTGCTATATGAAACTCACCTATTGTTCTCCAGTCTCCTAGAATGGAATGGGGGAGTTCCAAAGATTGAAAAGCCATCAGAGAATTGAAGGGGGGGAGCAAATATTGGTATCTAGTCATTGTTGAATATACATATAAATGTTCATTATTTCTTTTGAATTTGGGATTTTAAAAAATGTATTAAAAGTTGTACGGTTTCTCAGATCACTTCATTGGTGGGAAACTTAAAGATTTTTTTTTTTTTCACCAAAAGAGGAAGACACTGTTCAGCCATGTGTATTAATACAATGAGGTAGATGTCAGAGCCTTTCAGTGTTATAAGCCAAATTAAATATTAACTATGCCTTTTCTACAATCTTGACAAAAATTTAGTTCTGTTAATGTTGAACCCTTATACCAAACTCTGCCTCCTGTTGATTTTGACATGTTAGGAAGGGTAGCTATTTGTATTCAATAATAAATTATTTATAAATGAAATGCACAATAGGTTACTTAAACTGTGTCTCCACTAAGAACAGACTTGTTCAAATACATTTTCTTGAAGCCAAACGGAAGTATTCACATTCAGTGGAAAATGCATCTGTCTTTCTTTGAGTAAATTGTACCAAAGAAATAATTTAAAACCTTTTGGGAAATGAGAAGTAAAAATAAAATCACAAGAGATCTTTTAAATGAATGTGCTTCAACTTGGTCTTGAGGAACACCTGCAGGATATAAAGGCAGTGTGTTTGAAATATAGAGGGATCATATTTTATGGATATTACTTTTTAATTTTTGCATCTGCTGGTACTCTGCATTAAAATAAAATATTTTGAAAAATCGACTCTTCCCGAGACAGTCTGCATTTTCGTGGGTGTTACAACCCCTTTCGCTAACCATGACTCAATGCATAAGTCATCTTCCCCAAATGCACACACAGACCACATGGAAAGAGAGGTGAAAAAGAGATTTGCAACTGAAGATTGTACAGAGTGACAGGAAAAGAGCAGTAAACTCAGCAGCACCCTGAGGTGACAGAATAAGAGAAAAGGCTGGAGGGGACAGAGAGGGCCTGAAGGAGAAAAGACAAAGAAAGTAAGATAGAAAGGATTTAGGGAAGGGAAATAAAAAAGGGACATCATGATGGTCACATATAAATATAATTTTAAGTAATAAATATATCTGTTACATGGGCAAAGTGAGATTTACCAAACCTAGAGAGAGTAAAAGAAAAAGGTAGATTATAAGAAAGATTTAGCAAGAAATGGATAATAATATTCAGAAGCTGACCAGAAGGAAAAGTCCTTGATGGAAAGACAGAAGCAGAAATAGAAAAGGGTCCCTGATGTCTTCCAGCCAAGGGGCCTGCCCATTCATGGGACAGGAAGTCAGAGACTCAATTTAGCCTTTCCTCTACATAGGCCAATTGTTAATGAACCTGCTTAGAAACGCATGCTTACTCACTGCAGTGAGCCAGTAAATGTCTTTTCACTTTAAAATGTTCTATAGAGTTCATGAGGAAGATTTTTTACATTTAGCTTTTTCTAAAACTCCAGTGATTTAAGTATTGGATTTTGAGTATGGACTATTTCATCTTTCACTAGTTTCCTTTGTACTTTGTAAGTTTTTGATTACATTTTCTGACCTTCAGATAAGACTCCTATGTAAGTAAACAGTCTGGCTAGATACGCCGTGTGCCAAATGACAGTATGGTACTGTCCTGAAGTTCTGTTTATTTTACTTTTTTTTTTTTCCCAATTGGAATTATATAAACAGAAGTGGACCTTAACTTTTGTCTTCTTGCTTGGAGGTAGTATTTTCTTGTGGAGGTAACTAAAAGGCTTAAGAAACAATAGAAGGTCCCATAGCCCTATGTGTTAAATAGAGATAAGTTGTCTGCAATTTCCACAACTTCAATGCAGGTGTTTGAAACAGAGTCATGGACTGTCTGTGCAAGAATGTCTCCTCTTATTGGCTAACATCTGGGTGAGAATGCAATTTTGAAGGTTTAATGTGCTTTTTCATTTGATCTTTTCCCTCTTTTTTTTTTCTTGGTATGATTAGTTGGAGATCAATGTCTAATACAATGCAAGAAATTTAATATTTCTTGTTATCTTTTTAACAAATATTTGTGATACAGCACAAATAACAAATAATGATCATTTCTCACAAAGTAGTGCTATTCTTTTATAGTAGCTGATTGATGCTTAATATCAGCTCACTAAATCATAATCTTTCTATCAGATCGACACCATTTAGCAAGTTTTTCTTTTCTTTCAATATATTTAGGCAGTAGCAGAGTTCCAGAGTGATTTTTGCTTTTTCTTTCCTTGTTCATTGTTATTACTGACATGCTAGTCATCCATGGCCCATGATGGGCATTTCTCAGAATTTGCACAATTCTTCTATGGCTTCTTCCCTCCAGACTAAAAACTTCATATAATTTCTAAGTGGAAGAACCTGTTCTACAAGCTGAAAATGCTGAAAGGGTATGTAATTTCCAGGTGTTAGAGATGAGATATAATTTTATTCATATCTATCTTCTCTCTCTAGATGGATAAAGTATTAGACATGACAGAAGGTGCAGTTGTGAGGGAAATCATAAATCTTGGGTCTTTTCTGAGGTAAGAAAAAGGTGAAGGCCAGATGCCTCCAGTTTTCTAGAAGTTAACTTATGCTTGCTTACACTCATATATAGCAACACTCTCCCTTTTCTCTCTTCTTTCTCATTAACCAAGCCTTCCTGTTTGTAGAGAAAAAACTATCGACTGTCAGTGTTACACTCATATTTTTCAGATACTTTTTATTTCTTCAAAACTCACATATCTTATTTATTAAGAGTTTTCTGAAGGAAATTAAATAGAATTATTTTAATTAGTTTTGCATTCTAAAGAAGTTCTTGAGATTTTGGTAACTGTCCAATGTATTGTTCTCTAAATCTAAGAAAAAGAGAATAACCAGAGTAAAAAGAAATAGAGAAGCAAGTCAAAAAAATTAGGGCAAGGGCTACTGAGAAAAATAAAGCTGATTGGCAGAAAGAAAAAGTAAACTTTAAATATAGTTTAGGAAAGGTTTTATCAATTATAAATAAGAAAAAAGATATACATGGGGCTACAGTGGATCTCTGGCTAATTATGTCTTAAAAACTTACCCCTGTTGTTCAGAGACATAATACTGATGGTCACTGAAGAATTTGGAAAATATAAATAACCATCCAATTATATGCATTATAAATCATTTCTTCATTATCCCATTGTGCTCTTTAACATCTTAATACTTATGCCAAACGTGTAGAATTTAAAGCAGGTCCAGAGGAAGCAGCAATACAACTTAAAAGTTGCAATGAAACAAGGGTAAAGGAACTGGCCTTGTTTAGTCTGGAGAAGAGACTGGGAAGGAATTAATAGCAGTCTTCAAGTGTGTGAAGGAACACAGTCCTTTGCAGGTAGAGATGAACAGCTGGTCTCTGTTTCCTTTGAGAATAGTACAAGACAGCATGGTCTTAAATGTGGTAGATGAGGATTTAGGCAAGATGTTAGGAAGATCTTCTCTACTCAGGGGAGGTGCAGGGAGAGGATCTTCAGATCTTCAGGATTTAGAGTGTGTTGAATTATTATTATTATATTTGGAGTCAGCTAGTTCAATTTGCAGAAAATAAAGAATGAATGCAATCTATAAAACAGGAGCCTGTGGCGGAAAGGAAACAAAGAATGAATAATTGTGATCTACGGATAAAGACCATTTGGATGAAAAAAAAAATGTTAAGTTCAAGATGTGTATGAGAGTCAGAATACTTGACCAGAAGGAAAACACATTATAGAAAAAAGAAAGAGGTTAATTAGATAAAGACAAAACAATGAAAATTTGAGGGTATGGAATCTACTTAGAATAAACATAAAATTTTCATCAAAATTTTGTTTTGGTGATGAGAGAAGAATTATAGTTAACCATGTGCACAGTATATGTAATCCACCAGCAATTTTTAAAAATTTGTGGGGTTGACACTCTTAAATATTAAAAATAGAACAAGCAAACAAATTATCTGTATTTCTTGTTGCTTTGTAAAAAACAAAATGTAATGGGGAAATGAACTAAGTAACTTTTCTTATCTTTCTCAATCTTTTGATTCTATGGTAGTAAGTAAATGGTCCATATATACCAAATAAAACAAGAATGAAGAATGCATAGAATTCAAGAAGCAATATTATAACAGTAGGACTAATTCACAAAAATGATTGCAAAAGTCATCGACATCCTTATCACAGGATATATTAACGGGGTGTTCAGTGATCTAGGTTTTACACAGAGCAAACAAAGGAAAGTGATTCATGAATTTAAGAATCTTAGAGTCTCAGATTTATTGTCATTTGATGAGAATGTTGCATTACAGTGCAATCACTTGGGAATGTAAAATCTATTACACTTAAAATGATGCTTAGATATATAAATGTAGGAACATAAATGTCCAGTTCAACAAACTGAATTGTTAAAGGAAGTGTACTGGATTTTAAAATAATTACAGAGGTTAAAATTTTCAGTCTCCTTGAACTATGATTGCAATTTCTGATAATCAGAATTGTGCTTAAAGATTACAAATATATTATATTCTGGTTCTGTGTAAGCAGCTTGATTCCTAGATTACTTGCTTAGTTTTATCAATTTTCTCATTACTTTATTCCTTCCCACAGTCATTCTACCTCTTTGAAGATGGAATGGATCCTGCTTATGTTTAGCTTTGCTGAAAAAATTCTCAATATCTCACAGCTGCGTTTTGTCATTGATAGGCTCACTCTAATGTGTTTTGCAAAGCACTATTTTTTTCTGATGTTTGAAACTTTGCTTTACTCTAAAGAGCAGAAAATAGAATACTCCATATTTGATTTTATTTTGCCAAGATGATAGTTATGTATATTTTATAACATTCTGGTACACAGATACGAACAATCTAAAAATAGATTCTTGAAAATATTTTTTTGCTACTTTTTAAAAATATACTAACACTTCACTTGTAAAATGATTTTGGTCTGGAAATACATTTTAGCTTCTCTCTCTCTCTCTCTCTCTCTCTCTCTCTCTCTCCAAAGAAAAGCCTTTTGTTCTGGTCTCTCTGGCACTACCTCATTCTGTGACTTTCTGCTGTCCCCTAGTGGCATGTTAATCTTCGTGACTACTGTGATAGCCCTGAAACCAATTCTCTAGTCTTCTGTGCTTTCTTGTGACTCTCATTAGCAGACATTTAAAATACTATTAAACAACCCATGAGCTGCCTTTTAGAAGCAATAACCCTGTTCTTTAGCCCAAACTGTTTTCCATTTATGAATTCTTACCGGAGAACACGTGTCCAGGGAATTCATGCTATCTAGATACATTGTATTATCACAATAAACATTGCAGGTTTTCAGAATTCTAACACAAAACTGATAAAAGCAAAATGTTATCAGTTCTGACTGTTCTATACATAGCATGCAGTAGCTAAAAGGTAAGTTGTGGCAGGTCAGACAATTTATGTCAATAGGTTTACAAACAAAAACAGTACTATTCCTTTTCCTTTACTTTTCAAAGTCTTGAATGGTTACTACAATTGTAATATTTGTTCTTTTCATAGTGACATATTTCTATGAAAAAATTAGACAGATACAATGATCTGATATACATTTGAAGCATTTGATGAAAATTAATTTATAGAAAAGAAAGACGCATCAAAGTTTACGAGGATGATTTTTTTAAAAAAGCTTCTTAAAATTTTCTGCATGTCATCTTTTTTTCTAAATGGATCTGAATTTTTTTAAAGTAAAGATAAATTAATTATCTCCCTTCTAAAATTCCTTGAGTACAGTGTTCAGCTCTACTATGGAGCTGGTAAATATTTTAGCATAGACATCTGGTTTTCTGAATTTGTCATTTCAAAACTCATGTGATGAAACTGGAATGTAAGTTTGTCAACAACAATATTTAAGTTTTTAAAAACTTAATCTCAACTGGTAATTACTATAAACCTGCTTCACACAATTCTTTGGAAGATGGCTAAAAGCAACCAAGAAGAATTTATGAGAAAAAAAGTCTGATGAAATCTAGTCCATTAACTGAACTTTACAGAAATCTGAGCTGTGTACTGAACTAATGATTTCTTGGCACTGCCTTGTTTGGCACTTGTCATGGTTTTGACAATTATCACATGAATAGCAACACTATTTTCTTTCTGAACTCAGGAGAAAGGGGTTTTGTGGGGGTGGGAGTGAGAAGGAGGCCCAACTCCTGCTTCTTAGTAATCCAAGTATACAGTTTGGTCATGTAGAAGGGAAAGAAGTAAGCTGTAAGGCCCTGTCACATGACAATCTCTTTTTATTCAAAGAGAAGTTGATGTAGTTTTTGAACTGCCTCTCTTCTGAAAGGTCAGCTTGCGGACCAGTTTGGTCATTTTGTCTGTTTATCTGTGCTTCCACTGGCACAAGATATCAAAAAACAAGGTCTTAGATTGCAATCAGTCTTGCTTAAATATGAAGTCATCCAACCAGTCCAATCCAAGAAATCCTATTGACTATCTTGAGGAAAGGGAAGAGTTTAGACCTCCTGAACTTTTTCTCAAGCAAAAAAGGTAAACCACTTTTCTAAACCTCCTTAACAAATGATAGAACTCCGATCATCCCCTCCTTCAATTTATCCTCCCACCAAATTTCTCAAATTCAGATCACATGGTTTTCTAAAAATACACTCTCCAAACGCTGTAATTTACAATAGCTAGTTTTCACAGAGAAATGTCTGATTTTTTCAGTTGCCTATTCAGATTGTAAATGTCCTAAAAATGCTCTCCTGGAGTTATTTTTAAAACATTATGGTATGTTAGATAATAAATATTGCTGCTTTGTTATTGGAAACATTGGAAGTGGCATATTTGACAGGTTAATAGGAAGGAGGATTCCATCTGAAATTTTAATTAATTTCATTTTGGATACATGTGACTTATAAAATCTTAATACTAATGTCTAAATGTGAAAAAAATTTGCTGTTAGAGATTATACTCACTTGATTAGCTTGCAGATTATTTGGAAAATAGGGGCAGGAAAAAGTTTTCTTTTTTAAAAAAATTAAATCTAGAGACAGTCTTAATAAATCTTCTCTAAAGTAATATAGCATTATCAGTGGCCTATTCTCTACAGAATTAGTTTTTCCAAAACAAATAATAAAGCTGAGCAGTCCTACTTTTTACAACTCTGGAGACTATCTAAACAAAATGAACAGATTTATAGGGCTATTTTTAGTGTGTGTCACTTGCATTACAGTTTACATTTGCTTTCAAACCTTATTTGACATTCTTGGTAGAAAAATACAGGCAGAACCCTCATTAAGATCCTTAATAAAGGACAGTCTCCATAGGGCAGTTACCAAAAAACCAAAGTCGTGGCATGTATAGGAATGTTCTTTTGGACTTTATGTCATGCCTACTTCATTTTCATTTGTGTAAATAGTAAAGGCCCGAACCAGAATGCAGATGTACAGATTCTCTTTATAACAACCATTTGGCATTGGTATAGTCTACTAATAATAATTGAAGTAAAAGCATATTTTTCACAGTTTGGAATTTTCACACAGCAACAGGTAAGTACTGCTATGTCTAAATAACTATTATTCTTCCATAAATTGTATATTCACATTAAAGTGAAAGTTAACTTGCTGGAGAAGTGTAGTACAATGCTGTGATTTTCTGCAAACCATTCTTTAGTGCACAAAAAATGCATGGAAAACCTTATGTAATGTTATGAAATATGTCATCACACATCAATTTATGAAAAAATCATGTTGTATTTCAAAATATAGATGGGAGGATTAAATGTTTGCATTTTGTCTAAACCAAGTTTCCCTACCAGCTTGTTCCACATCAGGAGAAAGACCAATCTCTTCCATTGTGAAGGGGAACCCATTTCACTTACATATACAGATAAAGAATAAAGAATTCATCTCCTTTTGTTTATTTAGAAAAGATATTACATCTAGAGGGAAGTATTAAGAAGATAAAACCAGATACATATTTAGTCACTTTATCATATCTTTCTCTTCTACGTAAAGGAGAACACTTTGATAAGGTTAGACTGTACAGGAAACCTAAATTGACACTCCGTTCAATGTGTTGTATGCTTTCATATTAATCGTGTTCATGGCAAACTCCCTAGTAAGGAAATACCTTAGCTGTAGACATCATTTAGTTGAGCCTTATAAATAGAGCTCAAATTCAAAGGTAAGAAAGCAGACAAGAATTTAACACCAACCACCCTGATAAGATTATGTTTTCAAAGCAAAAACATGTCTACGAAGTGTTGTGGTGTGGAAATGTCCGATTAAACTCTTAAGCAAACATGCTTTCCCACACAGCAGCCTCTTTATTTGCATGAAATAATTCCTTAGAACAACAAAAAGTAACTTGGCACAACTAGTGGAGCTTATTAAAAGTCAGTGTACCACATTTAAACCTGAAAAAGAGTTTTCTATACAATGATGGCTTCTCAGATGGCTCCTTATGAACTTGAGTAAACTGACAAGTAAAATGACTCACTTGGACTAGTAGAGAATAATATTCATTGCAACTGCTAAAAAATACAAATTAAGACACTTTGGGAGGTTTCAAACAGTTTGCTATACATGAGTCTTCTAAGAAAGTAGTTTTATAGCTTGATGAGTGTTTTTAACTAGTTAAAGATGTTACTACAGCTACCTTAAAGCCGTGTTGTAAAACAATGCCTTTGATTAAAAGATTGTCAGGGTTGGTTTTTTTCTAATTTGAAGCTTTCAATCATCCTATTTATTTGGCTTTACAGTGTAAAGGAATTGGTTTTCTCTAGTAAATTTATCAATTACTAATTAGTTTGGTGGTGAGTGGCTAATTTGGGTTTCTATATAAAATAGGGCCAGTTTCAATTTCTCCTAGCATTGGTTTATCCTGGCCTATTTAACATATGAATTAAGCCCAGATATCTTTCAGAATTCAACGCTGTACTTATTCCTGCCAAAATAATAAAAAATAATTTATTGTTGTAATCTCGATTTATGGTTTAGTTAGGCAGAGTAAAAATATGACCTCTGTAGGAATCCCCATTGCCCCTTAAATTCCAGTTTGCTTTACAATGGGTTTGTGTGCTGGTGAAAGTTGGTCCAGCTAACACTTAATATGTCAAGTTCAAAATGAGCTGCTTCTGATTTCAAAGTCATATTAAAATGAGAGGAGATGAAAATCCTCTTCAAATAGATTATTTAACTCCTTGTAACTTTAAATGACAAAAAGAAAAAACGATAAACCTAGTCATAAGATAAATACATTGCAAGCAGGAACATATGAAGCATTTTTCAAAATTAAACTGCTATGACAAGCAGTTGTAAGGCAGTCTGTTTTCTTTTTTGGGGGGTGTTAAAGATATTATAATTGAAAAATGAATACCCACAGCAACTAGCATCTTCTTTTAAGATGTTCTTTTTTTATTCAGAAAAGAATATCTTTTTTAATCAAATATATTCACAATGTTTTGTAAATTTGGTGATCTGAGTTTTGTAGATTTGTTTCAGATGTTTATAGCATCACTTTATGCATTATATATTTTTGTCCATAAAGCATTCTCCAAATGGTAGTTATTTCTGTGAATAATACAACAAAGCAAGAAAATATGGCTTTTTCCCCTACTTCATCATTGAAGTGGAATACGATCATTAGCCAGGGCTGTGGTTTAGTAACAACATTTTGAAAAATAGCCTAAATAAGTAGATGTCAAATTAACCAAGAATGGGGCAATTACCATCATTTTCAAAAAAGCATATACCATTAGAATTTCAAGCTATAAATAATTGTTTTTGAAGAAAATAGAAAGTTGCATCTTTACAGGATTTGCAAACCCTATCTCTTGAGTGCGTTAAAAAAAGATTCAGTACTCAAGTTAGATTTGTGAAAATCGTGATTCAGGAACTGTTCATGAATATAATAAAGTCACATGACTCACCCTGAATTTAGAAGTGGCTGATGCAGCAACAGACAACACGATGACTTACAGCATTTTTCCCTTTCATAATTTGCAAAAAGTGTTTCTGATTCAGTTTCCTCATCCTCTGCAAAGATGCCTCAGTTCTGAAGCGAGAAGTTTACTTTGTCCAAATTCCGTCTAGTGTTTTCACTGTTGCTGAAGTCAGAGACAAAGGATATTTTCTCAAGCACTGATTTTTTTAACCCTCTGTGTTTAATAAGAATTTATCATTTAGAAGTCCTGCAGGTTGAAATACATATAAAAATCAGTTTTAATTTCCAAAAACCATTTACAGTGAAAGAAGAAGGAATTTCAATCATTTTATCACGTGGCTTATATATCTAGGTATACTTTTAATTAAACACAGGTCTATAAATAAGCAAATAATAGGAGTTAGTGGAGAAGCAGTTGATCTAAATCGTGACAGTTGCTCATTTATCTTTGTCCTAACTAGACAATAGGAAATGACACTACACTGTTGTTTTCTATGCATTAAGATTTCCTTCTTAAACAAATGCAATTGAGGCGGTTTGTTTTCCGACAGCCCAGCACACACTGCCAGTGGCCAGAGTTTTGTCTCGTCTTCATCCAGAGGAGGATTAATCTTGGTGATGGTGCAAACAAAATGTATGTCTGAGGTCAAAGTGCAGACTGCCTTTTGGGATCTGCATTACATTAATGTCATTTTTGGGTTCCTGACGTTAATCAAAACCAACACCATAAAGCGTCACTTAGCTAATTTGTGTATTATTGTCAATGTTACCATTAATTATGCGTTTGTGAGGAAAAAGAGGATTAATGAGATGTCACAGGTAATTTACAATGATCAGGCTCCCCAGGACATTATGAAAACACTAGCTGGGTAAGATTACCATGCAATCATAATAGTATGCAAGAAGCAAAAGTCTTTGTGGAGGCACCACACTAATATTGACCACCATTGCTATCTTCACTAGATTAATCCCTAACTCTTAAATGTCTTGCTCAAATTAAATGTTTCTTTAAGCCTAAAACATGGGACACTAATATATTAATTGTGAGGCTTTTTGTTGGGTGTCTCTCTCCGAGTTCTGAGGATAAGCTATTATTTCTCTTGAAAGATGGGTACAGACACAGAGAGTTAATTCTTTACCATGCCCTGTGACCTCAGGTTTACATTTCAGTATCCCTGTGGCACTGCCTATACTTAAATAAGAATGATAGAAATTTTCTTATATAACCACATTTTCTTCCAGTCTAGCCCTTACTCAGAGCCACCCCATTTCTGGAATTCACTCAGTAAGGAGGCACAGAATCATATTAGCATCATGCATGTGGGGGCAGAAGCTCTGAGGGACAATCCTATGCTGTTGCGCATTGATTGGGACCAACTGGGAGAGCAATCAGAGCTCCCTGGGGGAAAATCAGAGTGGGTGTTGGATCAGTCTGTGCCTGGAAATCCATCCTGATGTAAGTGCTCATTGGGAACCACAGAGCCTAGAAAAAGAGCTGAGTTAGATGGAAGCAAGACTGGAACCAGGAGGTACCTGGAAGGAATCAGGAGATGGGAATATAGAGAATGTTGAGAGAGTGGCACACTCAATCTGTGATGTCTATATCCATCTCTTATAATCACAAGATGCCACAAAAGGGATAAAGGTATACTGGGGGAGGAAAACCAGACAGGATCCCATGGAATTCAGTTCCCAGGGCCTTGGTCACTCAATGAGCTAACTTTCTGAATTGATCACTGGTCTGTCAGGTGGATAATAGATTGGAGAGTTGTAGTGGATTATGGAAGATCTCATAGAAAAAGCCCATTTGTTATTATAATTTAAGTTTTCATGAACTCATCTGAGTTTTGTTCTAGCCCTATCTTTTATTGCTTTGAGGAATTATATGATAAATACACAGAATAATGTATTTGCTTTCACGCACGTATCTATGTGATCTAAGTTTAAATTCCAGCTCTGGGAAACATTAAAGAAGTTATTTAACTTGTGTGTTGGTATTTTCATCTGTAAAATGGAGATAATGAAACTTATCCAAAATAGGCATGAGGATTAAATGAGATAATGATTATAAATCACTTAACTCAGGGTTCAACACACAGTAGGGGTTTAGTCAATGCGTTTTCAACATTAAATTTTTATCAGAAGCACCTCTGGAACTTTAAAAACTATTGCTTCCTGGTATATACTTCAAGCCTATTGAATCTGAATACCTGAGTGTGATATCACTGTGTAGCTTGGATGAAAATCACTGCAATAAAGATGAAATATTTACCATTTATTATTAGCAATCGCTGTTAGCATTAACAGTGCAATGAAATGTCAAAAACAATTTTATCTGATGCCATAGTCTAGAGGCTGCATCATGAATTTTATCAGGCACTTATATGTGTGATTGTAATGTTTGAGGCCATATGATTTGAATTGTGGTATATAAAAATCTGCTTAATAGTGTTATATTGCAATTATTGTTTGTGTGTGTATGTGTGTTCATATACAGATCTATTTCTCTGGAGTGAGTGCAGATGTTTGAGGTGGCTGGAGTTACATGAAAACTGTATTTAAGAAAAACTGTCAGCAGACAAGAATAACGTCAAATTGCAAGTAAGCCAAACTTCACCATCTATTAACATGAAAATAAAACATTTATTACAATGTCCACTCTTGCTTTTTTATACTTACGGTATATTCCAAGGAGATTTCCATAGTGGGATAAAATTTCATAAGTAGAGAGAGGAAAGGAGGGGGAAGCTTAAGTAAAAATGTTTTATTATTGATCTGGCATTGTTGAGGCAGACCATGTAGACTGTGGAAATAATATAGTTTATCTCTTTTTTTATTGACTCTACAAAGTAATAGCTTAGCTTAGCTGTTAGTTTATCTTGTAACTAAACTTTGAACTACTTTCTGAATTGGTTGTTTTCCAAAAAGCAGTATACTCAATGAAATAAATATTAAAAGTTTTTGAATAGCATTAAGTGAACTTATGGACAAGATCTGCTTTTCCTCTTAACTATGGCATTGTATAAATTTGAATTTTTTTTAAAAAAAACTATGATCCTTATAGTGACAAAACCCCCACTCTGACTGGTCCATGTGTTACACTCTGGGTAAGAGGTAGTAGATGTTTTTTGGCTCCACCAGGTGGTTCATGAGTAACCCAGTGGGATACGGCAGTTATTAACAGTTGTGCCCAAAAAAGCTGTCTAGATGCAGTATAACCTGGGGAAATGCAGGGCTACACTGGAACACTGGTACCGATACTCAGTTTTGGATAGCTAGATGAAGACCCAAATGGGAGAGTTGCTAATATGAAAAACACTAGCTGTATTGAAGAGAATATAGAATTCAGGGTGAGAAACAAGAGTAGGCGAATTGTTCAGAATCCAACCGCATGAGAGTGCTGGTGATGCCTTTCGATGTGATGCCTATTGCAGAGTATATAGGTAGGACGGAGGAAAGCTTTAGGACTTCACTGAAGACCCTCACTGCATAGAGATTGAAAATAGGAAACAGTGTGGTGGCCTTCTCTCTCTCCCAGTTTCTTTTTTTTTTTTTGCTTTAATTATTCACATTTTATTAACGTGTAAACCTTAAGCAGACTCCAATAAAGAACAGTCAGTAAAAGTGCATCTTTTTAATGTTTTTTACACCTTAAAATAATTCTCTTGCTGACTGCAGACATGAAGGCTGTTTGGCAGTATTCAGAAAAATCATAGTAAAGACAGTTTTCCCACTTAGTTTGTAGTCTTCAATAATGATTAGAAGTTACTGTTATCAAACAAGTAAGACTGCATTTATGCATCCATCATTTTCAGGATTGTTGGTAACCTGGGCGTATTTCCCCCAAATAACCTTGCCTCCTTGCGTCACAAGGCCCAGCTCACTCACATTCACCTTAATGACAGTTTCTTACATTGTGAGTGGTCTAGCACTGTAGTAGCTGCTGGGTAAATCAGATGACTCTCCGAAGTTCTTCAAGATAAACTGATAAACTGATCAGGGATCTTAACATTGGTGGTGCTTCTGTTGCCATTTCCAAAGGATAAAAAAATAAGGTTAGTGTTAGTCAACTATTTTTCAGAGTCATGCTTAGGACACAGTAAGGACATGGAGACCTTTTGCAAAATACACCAACCCCAAAACACTTTATCTCAATACATCAAAGAATAGCTATGAAAATAAACTAAAGGTCATGCATAAACTTCTATGTAGTGTGGACAGCGTTCTTGAAGCATGGGTTAGTGTAGATTTCAACTGCTTTGGCTAATGGCACAACTTCATTAAGACCGATAAATGAAGAATAGCTCGAAAGCAATGTTACTGGTTATTTCCACTATGAGGAAAGGTCTGAGTTTAAGGCATTGTATGCAATCAATTTATCTTTGTAGTTTCAGAATCTAACATTCCCAGCACATAATAAGCAACAACTTATGAAGTATTTGTTGGATGGATACATATTTGACTGATATGGTGACCTGAAGTAATACAGTTACAAGCAGGATTGGTTAAAATAAATATATTAAGAACATCCTGAGGTTGGGGTTGTGGGGTAATGGGTTAAGCCACTGCCTGTGATGCCAGCATCCCATATGAGTTTTGGTTCAAGTCCTGGCTGCTCCACTTCTGGTCTAGCTCCCTGCTAATGCACTTGGAAAAAGCAGAAGATGGCCCAAATCTTTTGGCCCCCGCACCTGTGTGGGACACCTGGATGAAGCTCCTGGCTCCTGGATTCAGCTGGGCCCAGCCCCTGGCCATAGAGGCCATTTGGGGAGTGAACCAGTGAATGGAAGATCTCCCTCCCTCTATCCCTCTCTCTCTCTATAGCTCTGCCTTTCAAATAAATAAAACTAAAATAGAGAGAATATCCTCAGATATATTTTAAACCACACAACAGAATTGTGATGCGTGAGTATACATAAAATCACATAAGCTTGATAACTTGATATGAATTTGTCAAAAATGCTTGAATGGCTTTTCTTTTTTTTAAGATTTATTTATTTGAAGATCAGAGTTACACAGAGAGAAGAGAGGGAGAGGGAGAGAGGGAGAGAGGGAAAGAGGGAGAGAGAGAGAGATCCTCCATCCGCTGATCTGCTGGTTTACTCCCCAACTGGCTGCAATGGCCAGAGCTGAGCCGATACGTATCCAGGAGCCAGGAACTTCCTCCAGGTCTCCCATGTGGGCACAGGGGCCCAAAGACTTGGGCCATCCTTCACTGCCTTCCCAGGCCACAGCAGAGAGCTGGATCAGAAGTAGAGCAGTTGGGACTTGAATTGACTCCTATATGGGATGCTGGCACTGCAGGCGGCAGCTCTATCCACTATGCCACAGTGCCAGCCCCGGAATGGCTTTTCTTTAAACAACTAACAATAGATTCTAAGAGCCAGGAGCAATATGAGATACTATAGATAGCAACTTCAACAGCAACTTTAATGAGTCCATAGTGTGATAAAGACCATTTTCTCATCTGTCGATCTTATCCATATATCTATAAATTTATATGTTCCATATTTTTAAAGAAGATTTATTTATTTATTTGAAAGGCAGAGATACAGAGAGAAGGAGAGGCAGAGAGAGATCTTCCATTCACTGGTTCACTCCCCAGATGGTCACAATGGCTGGGGTTGGGCCAAGCTGAAGCCAGGATCCAGGACCTTACTCTGGGACTCCCACATTGGTGGCAGGTGCCCAAGAACTTGGGCCACCTTTCACTACTTTCCCAGGTGCTTTAAGAGGGAGCTGGATTTGAAGTGGAACAACCAGTACACGAGCCAGTGCCCATATAGGATACTAGTTCTGCAGGTGGTGGCTTAACCCTTTATGTCACAGAGCTGGCCCCAATATGTTCCATCTTTAAAAATAAGCAGCAGCAGTTAAGCAAGTATGTCTGTGTCCCTCTCACTTAAAGTTGATCTGTGTGTCAGTAGGTATAAAAATTTAAGTGAATACATTCCCTTTTGATTATGTAACCTATCCATTCAGACATGTTTCTGTATCACAACTATATGAGTAAGTAGGTAACCTGCACTGGAAGGGTCTCATCTGTGAACTACATTCAAATAAAGACAGAAATACCATCAACACCCAAAATATTAAAAAGCTAGTGTAGGAAAACCTTCAGACATTCTTTCCATCTTCAAGGAACTGGGATCGCTGGACTTTCACTACAGTTTATAACTTCACCTTTATCTTTGTGACCTAAAATAGCCTTGCTCTTGTCCATCTTCTGTATGCTGGCCAATCTCCATGTTTTGTTTTTATTTCCATGCAGGGGTTCTGATTCTGATTTCCAACAGCTCCTTTACTTGATACTTTGATTGAATATTACTGACCATGAATTAAACTCAAATTTGATTAACTCTGAAGTGAATGTAGTGCTTTACTCTGCAAAGATCCTCTCATATACCTGTACAGTCTCTTTCAAAACCAAAAATGAAGGAATACTTTGAAACTTCCTTTCCCCAGCATGTTTCTCTGCCTCACCACTCTTGCTCCCCCTCTGTTTCCTCCTCCCCCTATTCTTCTTCATCTTCAAGTCATAGGGGATCCAAACTCACTAAGTTTTAGATTTTGTAAGTAGATTAAAGTGAACAAACCTGTCCAAAAAACTATTATAATCAGTTAATAGATCACAGCACAAAAGATGGACACAGAAAAGAAAATATGGTGGCCAAGAAACAGGTGAGGTTCTGTCCATGATTCCTCTATGCTCTTCTGTTTTCTAAAATCATTTCTGCCTGCATCTAGACTTCCATGTGTGCATCACTAACTTCACTGTCCTTCATTTTTTTCAGGGACATCTTCCCTTACTTTCTAGATACTGTTAGGGACCCCCTTCACATGACCTGTGACTCTGTAGATAGACTCCCCCCTTTTCATGATCTTATTACACTCTATAGATATAATGCTTTACATTTAATTAGAAATCTAGGTATATTCAAAACACTGAGATATAATCAACCATCTATAAATTTTTGGAATTTTCAGGCAATTAAAAACAGATGACTAATTTGTTTAGAGTAGGAAGATAACTGTGGTAAGCAACTTATAAAATGGCTCCTTAAGGTACCCACATTCTTAATATTCATGCCTTTATGTAATGTGCCTACACCTGTCTTTAGACCTTTTGACTTCTTTCTAATGAGTAGAGTACTGCAAAAGTGATGAGATGCCACTTCTCAGGTTGGCTTATAAAGAGATTGTGACTTCTGTCTTTTTCTTGGTTCCTATTTCTCTCTCTCCCTCTCCCCTGAGGGAATCAAGCTGCCATGGTGGAGCAGTCATATGGCTAGCAGCTGATGCTTTTGGCCAGTGGCCAGTGAAGACCTGAGGGCTGGCACCAGCCACTTGAGCGAGCTTGGAAGTAGATCTTCCAGCCTTAAAATGAAGTCCTTGCTGACACTTTGATGGCACTACTGTGAGAAACTTTGAGCCAGATATTAGCTAAGCCACACCTGGTTTTCTAACCTCAGAATCAGTTAAGATGATAAATGTTGTTTTAAACCACTAAACTTTGTTTTGGGATACATTGTTACCCAGCCATAGACAACTAATACAGATTTTGGCACCCATTTGTGGAGTGTTGTCATGACTGGATAGTG